CACACAGACTACAAAGACTAATGTCTGGAGAAAAAGCACAATGTGTTTCAACTAAGACTCAAAATTCAAGCACAGCCTATGCAGCCTAAGTAGGATTAAATACCCATCATCTATTTCTTCTTAATAATTTAATTTAGTCACCCATAGGAAACAGATTTTGCTTAAGTTACTTACATGACTGCTCTATCTGCTTTGAAGTGTACTTCTCTGTTACTGAGGCATAAAGAAAACATCTGCTGTGTGTCTTTTTGCCTCTGAGCACTCCTTTTTGCTGCCATTTCAAGCATGTCTTCAAAAACCCACATCTTCTTTGCAAGTCCACTATGATTATTGCAACTTGAAGACACAATAGACACGTACCTCCAACTGTGCCATACTCCATTGTTTTGAAAAATGTTCCCAAGATAAGTGACATGGAAAGACTATCAGCAAGCTGTTTTGCATCTACATGATTCCTCTGGCAGTGCCAGCAAACTAAAACAAAGACATGTATTTCTCATAACTAACCCGTAGAATATTCAACTGTTTTTCTACCCCTTAGAGAGCCTCTAAAACTGTTTGACCTGAAAGTGCCTAAAATTTCATACTCAACCACACACATCCACCCATGGAAACACTTGTTTCTGTATATCCTCATACAGACAGTATTACTCCTGTGTAATACCCTTGTGTAAATTTTGTCTTACACAACAGAATCTCTAACCCCAATGTTAAAATCATGTCTTCATCATAAAAAAATAATTTCCTGTCAATCGGGATCCCACATTTGAAGAAACAGTCCTTAAGTTTGTTTTCTGTCATGTTTTAATATAAAAGCAAACACACACCTGTTCTCAGACAGAGATTTCCTTGGGGTCAACGTGTCTTCAACGAAAAAGTAGCAAAGGGAAAGCTCAGCTCTCATTCAAGGGACAACTGCTGAGTAGCCTTCAACAAACCAATATAAAGCAGAGTAGCTACCTCAGCAAATTATGTCACACTGGACAGGAGGACAGCTTGACATTGATTTGCATTGATAAGCATTTTATTTATTTATTAATTTATCTTTTTTATTATTTTCGAGTGCTCACAGCATCATCCTTGGTTACAGCTGTTTTTTTTTTGTAGTGGAGCTGTCGAGCTATGTATACACCCCGGCAACAGCGTCTCACCTGGCTGGGTTTTGTTGTGTTGACAGATTAATGATACAGTTCCACTGATGTGGTTGTAATGGCAAACGTCTCAGTTAATGCAGTTCTCTGGTAATTCAACTCCACTCCATCTGTTTTTACCTTAAACTTGTAATTGAAAAAGTTTTCACTCTCCTGACAGGAACTGACATCCCATTTGAGTTTACAGAAACCCACACACACACACACGCACATCAATCTGTGTACAGGAAGTTCACTTTAAGTTTATAATTTTGGGATTTAAGCATCAGACATGCAAATGTTCTTTTAGGCTTTGTGAAAAAAAAATCAACAACAGCAAAATTAAATGTATTTCAGTTGAACTTTAAGTAACAGATCAACACAAAGTAGTACATAATTATGAAGGGGATGGAAGACAGTGTCACATGCATTTGTTTTCAGCCCCTCTGAGTAAACAGTTTATGTAAACATCTTATACTGCAGTTATACAGCAGCAAGTGTATGTCTCTAAAATCCTATCACTAAATGTTTGCTCACTATTGTATGCAAAATAGCTCCAGCTAGATTTAATGGAGAGCAGTAACTGTTATTAACAATGTTTTTTGAAACCTGAGCTCAATTTCATGAGCTACATCAAAGCCCGATTACTGATTGCACGCCTTAACACAGACTTGTAGAATCAAGAAAGAATGACAACATTAATGAAACTAAAAGACCTCAAAAAGCAACACATCACGTTCTGATCTATAGAAAATCAGTTGAGAAAAAAAGTCTTTGTCTGTTACAAGCTGTTACAAAGACATTTCTATGGCTATGGTCCCATTGTGAACCACAGTGAGATCCGCAAATGTAGGAAATATGGAGCAGTTCTAGTCAGAAGAAAGAGGCCTACCAAAGTTACTCCATGAGTGCATGGTCGACTCCTATACAAGGTCATAAAATAATCTAAATTGTAAATGGCCTGTACTTGTATAGCGCTTTGTCAAGTCCGAGCACCCCAAAGCGCTTTACACTAGAATCAGTTATCCACCCATTGATACACTGACAGTGGTAAGCTACATTGTAAAGTTATAAAGTTTCGGAATGGCCTACTCAAAGTGTTAAAAACAATCTTATAGAGAGGAAGTGGTTTGATCTAAAACAGGTCATTAATGCTTAAGAATCCTCCAGTGTGGCTGAATTTAAAATAATTCAGGGCCAAATTTCCTCTACAGCAGTGTCTTGAATTGTGTTGATGGCAGATCTGGCCAAATGTTTATCAATCTGTAAATCTGTTATAATGTTTAGGGGCCAGTCACGTTGGGATTGCTGATTTGTATGGCTTTTTCCATAACAAATGACATCATAATTTAAAAACTGCATTTTATATTTACTCAGGTTATTCTTTTTTGATATGAAATCTTGTATAATGATCTGAAAAATTCAAGTGTGAGAAAAAAGAAAAAGCAGAAAAAAGGTCTAAGGGGGCAAAAACGTTTTTGCAGCACCATTTATAGACAGTTGCAATTAGTTTACCTTCACTTATTATTATAAATATCACGAACTTTGGTATTCAGTAATTTACTTGAACAGCTCCTTTTCCAAGGTGAAATGAGGATACTGTATACAACCTAAGCGTCTGATCTAACATCACTCTGTGCATCGAGAACGAACACTTTCCTAAGATCATTCTTGGGACGCTTATAATTTAATCCACAATCCAGGTCCATATTTTTCATTTTAAGTCTTTAGACTAACTTCAAGCATCTTTGACCAAGACCTAAAACTAATACGATTTAACTGGAGGAGCTTCATGGGGATCATGCAAGACAGAAGGGAATGCTATGCCTTAAGGGCACACTTCTTGTTCCACTTTTAAGACTCTTTGCATAAATTCTCTACATTCAGGCATGCTTAAAATCTGAACTGGAGGTGCTTCTAGTTTTTTTTTCTCATATAAATTTAAGTACTAATCATGCTTTTCTAACAAACACATAACTGTCAATACCACAAATAGGTATTTTCCCTATAATGTCATGGAGTTTTCAAGGTTGAGCATAATTGTTTAAAATGTGAAAGGTTTAACTGGATTAGACAAAAAAAAGCTTAAAATATTCAGTTCTCAGACAGTGAGCACCATGATCCCAGCTTTACAATAAAACGTCTACTCTGCAGGAGCACTCTGAATAGGTGTTTCACTGCTGGATCCCTGCCAATCGATTACAGCATTCACTTGAATGAATGAGGTGAATGGTGACAACCCACAATTATCAATGTAAGTTTTTTCTACAGTGAGAAATTATTTCTAAAGCAGCATGCCTATAATCAAAAAATCAACAGGGGAGGACAGACAGAGGAGAGGCACTTGAAAACATGCCACCACGCCACCATGGTCTTACATTATAAACTCAGATGTCTTAAGTTTCACACAACCCACTCTTTCTTTTGCATCCCTTTACAGTTTCTGAGTAATATGTCACTTCTTTTCATCAAATAACTGAAATGCAGCCTACAGTATAGAGTACAGCCAAGGGGATTTGTGTAAATTTACCAAAGAGTGCATCTTCAACCCTAAAATCAAATAAAGTACCTTAGTAGTATAATGGAATTTTTCTTATCAAAGTGGGAGAGAAATTAACTCACAATAAGAGAAAATCCAGACTTTGTCTTTATAAGTTTCATTCAAAGGCATTTCTGCGTTTGAATACCCTGTCACTGACAAGTCATTGAAACAGAGCCCAGAGCACAGTTTACAGACAGTATTTAAACAGTATGTGGGTGTTACCTCAACTTTAAAGAGTTTGGAGACATGGTCCTCTAGACCCCACCTGGGTCAGAGGTAACAATGTTATTTATGAGGACAGCCATCTGCTCTTCCTCAGACACAACCCTCCAGAATGTGTTTTAACCATTAAACTTCTGGTAATGGTTTTACAAACCAACTCCTCTATGGTAACAAAACACAGAGGTCAGAGGAGAGAGGTAAATGGAGGTTCAGAGCTTGAAAAAGAATTTTCCCACAACTCTAGCTAATAGAGTGGCAGTACAATTAATCATCAAATGCCTTGCTCAGTCTCCTAGTAACAGTTAAAATCGCATCTAGACACATAGAAAGAAACTGATTACACAAACAAACCGATTGCCGTGATTTGATGTTAAAGTTAAACTTTTATTAGCTATTTATTTTTGTGAAACACCACAGAAGTAAAGTAAGATTAGCATTTTCATTATATGTGGCTAATTTAATTTAAACAGTTACTCTTTCATTTACAAGGAAAAATCCTTTGAGTCATTCTCTCAGTTAAGACTTAATTTAATTGTTTTCAAATAAAGTTCAGTTCATGGAACTGCCGTTCGTTTTTAATTCAATCACCATCACCAGAGGAAAGCACAAGGGTTTGGTGGCTAGCATTACAGTCTCATTTGTAATTAAAATCTGTATTTTTTTCCGAGACGTTTTTTGCTTCCTCTCACAAATCTAAAACATGCTGTCATACATTCTTCTTACTCTTCTTTCAGATGACCTTCAATATTTCCAGGTCCGAGACAATTTTCAGGTCTTTGAGAATTGCTGTTGATTCTGCCTAAACACTGAAATGCTATAGGTGATATATTCAAATCATTATTCTTATGCCTAATTTAAAACATGAACATTTAACTTCTTTATTATTATTATTATTGTTATTATTAAGTGCTGTAAATAATTTTGAAAAAACAAATACGGTTTATTATTTTCTTAACTAAAATCAAAATATTTTTTGGTTTTTAAACAAAAGCAGTGCAAATGGGTTCACACAAGGTAACGTTGCATTTCTAAATGAATCTAAATAACACTCACAGATCGGTAGGCAACTTGAGGTTAAGTGCCTTGCCCAGGAGCACATCGACATATGGCAGGAGGAAGCTGGAATCGAACCCACAACCTTCTGATTACTCTTCCTACTGAGCCACAGCTGCCACATTATCACCACAAATCCCCATACTCAAATTGTCCACTTTTGAGCTAAATAGAATAATGTAGCGTTCAGAGCCTTTTCTTCGTCCTACTTTAAGTTGGGGGATTTTCACGGCTATAGATTTAAAATATTCATCCAGAACTTGCGTCTTGAACCAGTTTTCTGTTTGTTTTGGAAGGGAAAAGAAACACAGCAGAGCACTATTAGTCACGTTCTACGTTCCTATCCAAGACCTAAAACTTATGTCGCTATAACAAAGCATAATTTTACAATAACAACCAATCATTTGCATACACTATGGTAACTCAGAGGGGATTACATCCATTATTTTCTCAAATGATCAACACCTTCTTCATGACTTTAATCCTTGATTCCGTGAGATAAAGATCGTTCATGAGACTTGAATCTCAAAGTTTGAGTTCATTCTAGTCTAAAGTCTTTAAAACACAAGTCTAATTTAAGTTTAAAATGTTTGTTTTAGAGACTTAAATGCAACTCAAATTCAAATAACAGACTTGCATTCCTATCTTTCTGAGCCAACACATGTAATTTAAATCCTTTGGTGAATTTTGGAAAAAAAAAAAATTGAAAACATGAGAGCCTCAGCTGCTAGCTGAAATCCTACATTCAAACTGTCTTGTCCAGTATGTTCTTTTTCCTTCTTACAAAACCTTCTAAATTAAAATTAAATAAAGAAATAAAAATGCAGGTTTAACAGAGGACTGCAAGCCCTACCAGAACAGAAAATATTTTATCTACCTCCTTCTCACGTTTATCTAATGTACTTTGCTTTCACCCTCTGCTCAGTTTGTTGTTTAATTATTCATGAATAATGCATAATTTATTATACACTTGGTTATGCATGACTTGTTGCCCAAGGGTGCTGTTGTTTTGTTTTTTCATCCCTTGGTGAATGTTTGAAAGCAGCGTGGAGGCTTTAGTTGTAAAAAATGTTCAGTACAGCTGCCAGAAATCTGAAATGTGCCCTTGTTTACCAGAGGAAAAATGATAAATCTTAAAATGTCCTATTCACTTGGTTATGGCCCACTCTGCTCTGAGTACTATCAGCGGAAAAACATGTAGTTCATTAATGAAAGCTAATTCAGGAAACATTACCAGTATGCCATTGAAAACCTAAGGTGATGAACACAGGATATGTTTCAGCCAATTAAGTTTTAGTTCAAATGTTTCAAGCTCAGAGGTTGGTGATTCTTAACACAATGGGGCAAAAAAATTTATTGTGAAAGGACAAGCGTAATGCCTCTTTGAAAAACAGATATTGATCTAACACCAGTCGACCTTTATGACCTTTGACTTTCAATGTTAAAAGTGTTGAATAACATGCAATTATGAGATTTGCTAAATCTCACAATCCACAATTAAGCAAAGATCTGTTGACAAATTAGGAGCTGAGTAGAGTTTAACTACAGAAAGATAATTTTAACCATTACACCTTGTATGTCATGGCATGTTCACTGCACTCATCAATGATGCATGCTTAGCTCTTTGTTCTTTCTTTACTATTACAGTAAAAAAAAAAAGAAAAAAAAGTTTTATTTTTATTTTTATGCTTAAGGGTCTGTATATCTCTCAATTTAGTAGTTTATCAAAAACATGCTCTTTCCCATCATGTGTAATTTAAGGCTTCATATTGGGATCCTGTTAACAGTAGGTTTGTTTCTTAAAACCATGTCATCTAAATTTCATGTACTCAGTTTTTTTAACCCTGGATTTGCTGTGGCAGTCAGTCTGGCATAATGAGCTTCAGTTTATGGAGAAATGAAATACAAAGAATACTGCATTGGAGAGAATAGTGAATAGATGCATGAGCACTCCCGTGTTCCATGTATAACAAAATTCACAAACCTTTTCTTCTCTAAGTAAACAACTTCAGCTAAACTGAGCAATGTACTATTCTACTACTAAGTAAATAAAATAACCTGAACAAATAGGAACTGAAGAGATTGAAGAGACTGTACAAATATTGACTAAATGTCTTGTAATTTAAAGATTAAATAATTCATTTTCATAATTCATAATTCAAGTCTAAGTGAAAAAGACACCTAATGAATAAAGAATACAAAACTCCTCCAAAAACATATCAAACATATCAAAAACAAGAAGAAGAAGAAGAACATATGTGTTGTCTTTTTCAGCTATCACTCTTATTTATCTGCAACTAGGGTAGATAAATTACGCTAGCTGAAGGAAGCATGGTCCCTTTACTGGGTTTAATGCAGACAAAATAATCCATTATCTGGCTGATTATGTTTCTCATACTACCAAATTACACAAAGAAAACTATTCAAGATATCAAAATTGACACCTTTTGTCAATTAATATTCCCACATTTAGACAGTGGGTGACCTGTTTAGATTTTCTACACCTACAGCCAGGTGACCCCAGGTGGTTAGATACATATTTGCTGAATCAAATTTGACATGGTCAAAAATAGGGTTGGACTTGCTTTCCCCAGGAAAAACTTCAAGGATTTGGCATGCTGAGTGTCTGCATGACATAGCATGTGATTAAGTAATGTTATTAATAGGTAATTGCGGCAACACAGAAGCAGCGCTCACATAAACGTGCAATTCTATTGCTGACAATGTTTTTGACATGTCAAAAAGTTCATGATGACTTGGCTTAATTGAAAATCAAATTACATTCAGTAATTTGGTCTCAGATACTTAGAAATGCTGGAGTATAGAAAAGCAGCATATCTTCATATGCCATACAATGATGACTGAATATAGGGCTTTGCAGTTGTGAGAGAATTCTTCAGTCATAGAAAAACAAATCTGTACAGCTTCATTTGCAACCACTTCTGTATCTATGTTCTGTTTAAAACAAAAATATTTAGCAATTTTCATCCTAGAAACAAAATAACTACATGCTGTGAAATATTGGCTGTCCATTGTCTTTACTGGGTGTGCAGCTTTACTAAATATTAATATGATGTGTCAAAATAAAGAATGCAAAGAGAGTTTTGCCTGAAATTTATCATTGAAAGAGTGAGCATGAGGGAAGTATCCATCCTTCTCTCCATTTGTATTTGTTAAGGCTTATGCCAGCCCTGTAGCTAAAGCCATGATCGATCTGCTAGGGGCTGCCTGGCCCCACTGCTGCAGCAGCTCTGAGATGTCAGTCATTGCTCAAGTCTGAGCTCTTGGCCTTGCACTCTGCTGGCACAACGTTCCTCTGACCACTGCAGGTTGCAGCATTTCAAATATCAAGCAGGAGCTGAGAAGGAGTGAAGTCTGGGTTTCAACTGTGTCCAAATCACATTCAATGGAAGCTATTTAACAGTGCAACACTTTTCAGTGTTTACTGGCAGGTTGAGAAGGGATCCTTCTCACATGGACTTTTCACCACTGAAGCATAAAATTTGTGATAGGTACCTGGAGCTAACTTCAAAAACATCATAACGTTCATTCTTTGCTTCTTGAACAATATTAAAAATATGCCTGAGGTTGCACCTATAAATTGGAGCATTCTCTTTGCACAATGGATTGCGTGCATGCGATTAGGCAAGGAGAAGAAATCCAAAGGTAAACTCATCTACAGCATCAAATACAAGACAGCATCAGCTTAGTTACGTATGTGGTCAAGTGCATAGAAATACGCAAATGTACAGATTTTTGGTCCTAGTCCAAAGTTACAATTAGTTAGCAAACAATTATCTCAACTTCCTTACAGAATCATCTTCTGAATCCACTCCCTACACATGTTCTTTATACCTTACAGGCTAGAAGTCATCCCAAGCAGGTTGTTTTTTGAATAATGTAAACATTTTGATTTGGCAATAAAACAACACTAATATGTGTGGACCAACCATATAGTCGAAGTGGGCATTCATCAACCTCACTCCTTGATCTGAGCAGGGGGCATGTGGTATATGCACCAGTAGATACAGTGCTAGGTCTAAAAAGTACTATATCAGGCAGGTGTAGGTAGTCCTTGAAAAGAATTGCACATACAAAGTTTGATGATAGAAAGTATTCTTTTAATTAGAAGGTCTGTTTATGTGGGGAAAGACATATGAGCCAAGTAGGAAATAGTAATCCTGAGAGCATTTGCACCATGTGGTATGCACCCTAATTACCCAACTGTGATGCTCCAGGTGCCCCACAGAACTGATAAGCCAAAGCTCATAATCCATGCAGAGACTCAGAAAGGAAAGAAAGGGGAAAATTTGTATTATTTACCATTTAAAGATCAGCCCTCAGTTGATTAGACTTCACCCTTTTACTTGATAGCTCATATCCATTATTTATGAGTAATAATACATTGATGACAAGTGTGGACTGATGTATAAAAAGCATCTGCCATTCTGATTTCTGTTTTTATTATATCAGCCATGTTAATATCTATATAGCATAAAGCCCACAGTGCACACTACATGCAATGTATCAATCAGCCTCTTTATGTTACTAAGGATTGATAGTCGCAGTCAGTGTCAGGACTTAATGAACATCACAGCAGTACATCTTTATTGTAAAGAATACAAAGGGACATTTTTTATTGTGGAGAAGAAGTTGCTGGAGAAGCACAATGCTGCATTACAGAAACACTTCAGGGGACTTCAGCTTCAACAGCGGTTCAAAGATGAAGCCTGTTGTTTTGTTCCAAAGACACAAAGCGAAGCAGAAACTGGAGTGCTGTAATCTACAAAGACAGCTTACTTCAGTTTGAAACAAGCACACACTTCTGAACTGAGAGCAATCAAAGTACATTTTCACACTGTGCCTCAATTCTCATTTTAGTTTTCAGCTTGAAAGATTTTTGAGAATCCAAAGCTCAACTTTAGTGACAGTATTTTTTTCTTAGCAAGGGTTGATCATTAGAACCTTTTACCAATTACAGAGGATTGTTATTCACTCTCTAGTCTGGATTTACAAGACCAGATTTCTTAGTCATATAGTCACAAATTCAAATCAAATGAACTAAAAATAATGCAGCACATTTAGAGAAGAACAAGAAGTAGAATATTAAATATTATATA